CAGCCCACTCACGCTCATAATTTCTCCTCACCCTGCCGGCTTGTAGTAGCAGCTGTTGGTGTATTTGCTTCTCACCTGTAATCGGGGGTTTCCTCGCCTCTAACCACACATTCCTCCCGGCTGTAGCTGCTCTGCCACACTCCACACCTCTGCTGCCTCGTGCGCTGCAGCAATTCTCACCAGCTGTTTGTCAATTTTGTTTTCTCTCCACAGTCCTTTGTCCCACGTAAAGTCAGACGGGAAGCTTTTGCCTCTTCAGCGTCGACCGGCAGAGGAGGGTTTCAGTTTTGGAAAAACGCAGGAACTGATTTAAATCCAAACCTTCCTTCCTTTTTTTTCTTTGCAGTTTTCCTCGTGGTACCTTCTGCCTCTCTCCTCGTATTCTTTACTTTTGATACGACTCTTAGTCTTTTGTAGTTCTTTTTAAGTTCTAATATTTAGCTAGTGTTTTATTCATTCAGTGCTCCATGTTTTCATATTGTGACTTCACACAGGTGCATCTCAATAATTGATGCTGAAGTAAACTTTTTGATGATGTAAGACAATGCTAATGAGAAACTCATTTTAGATGAATTCACTACCTACAGAATGATCAATTTCAATTGTTTGTTTCTGTCAGTTTTTGATGATTATGGCTTACAACTTATGCAAAAACCAAATTTACCCTCCATCTAATGAGTAAGCCATAAAATGGCATTGCTGAAGAAGTTTGCTGTTCAGAATTTTGTATCCAAGCGCATTAAGAGAAGGTTGAGTGGAAGGAAAAAGGTCCACAAGCGGAAAGTAAAAGTGGTTCTATTTCTAATATCACACCTTAGTCATAATCCTCTTGTCTTAAATAATATTTTAATGTCTTGTGAAATTAATTTGGAGTTTTCAGCAACTACAAGCCGCAGTCATCCAAACTGGCATTAATAAAAATTTGAAACATATCAACTCAATGTTAAAAATTCAAATCCGGCATTTTTTTCTCAAGCTGAACTGCTGAAATTTTCGATGATACGCCAATAAATTGAGATGCACCTGTAACCACTCATGTGTGGATGCCAGTAATCAGTGTTAGCCTGATCGCCTCACTTTCTGATCAGCCAGGTGCTTTTGGAGAAAAACAAGCGACCCTTAAAAGTGTTTCATTTTATTTTATTTTTTTTAAAATCCGTTGAAATCTATCGGCAGGCTTCTGCAAGGGAATTGCAGTCCAAGCAGCCTGCTTTGATTATCAAATCCACTTCCCCTCAGCTGCCTGACAGGGAAAACAAATCCTGGTGTGATCTGTGAAAGAGTGGCAGGCAAGTCGAAGGCATCGAGCATTGATTATCCTCATGATTTATTGCACGATTTTTAAGCTCAGCTCTCAAAATCAAAGAGGAAGCCCTTTTTATTTAAAACTTAAAAAAAAACTGTTTGTTGCATGTTAGTTTCAGGTACAAGCTGTGTGAAGGTGAATGTTTCAAATGAGACGTCTTCTACACGACATAGAGGGTTTGCACTGTTTGAAAAAAGGGACAAAAATGATCAAAGTTGTGAAAAAAATATTTTTGGATAAGAGATTTTTTTATTTTTTTTAATTAACAAGATAAGGGATTGGAACGATTTTTCTAGATGTTGTGACGTCAACCCCAACAATTTCACCACTTCCACATGAGATTAGTTCACCAGTCTGCAGATTCCTCTTGTTTCATATGTGCATTGGTGGAAAATAATATATTATTATTAACTAAGTTTACGTCGGCGTTAACCGTTGTTCTGTTGCGTAAGTTATCTGTGTTTTAGGACATTGGCTTTAGGGACAGATGGGGTTGCACTTTATCAGTGACCCGATGGTGCAAAGGTGGAGTTCTGCAGAATATAGCACAGAGTGGATCTCATCAGCAAACGATGAAAGATGTGGTCAAAATGGAATCATTTTAAATGAGCATTCGTCTCATTTAAAATGTTTAAAAGAGAAACATTAGTGAACAACATTCCCGCTCAGTTTTCTCTTTAGTAAAGTCAATGACTTCACCATGACGGAAATGATTTGAGAAGCTTCTGTGATTATAATTAATGTTTTTGGACTAAACATTTGAAAGATTCAGTGAGGAAATTGGAAATCCTTCATTAAAAGGCTGTAGACTATAATAGTCTAAATGTATGTAACTCGCTTAAAGATTGTGAAGGTTGGGTTGTTGTGGCTGATAGTTTTTTTATGTTTAGTTGAATGTAAAAGTATCCGATGATAGTTTAAGTCTAGATTTTAGCCAGTCAAGTCAGTTGCATTTTAACTTCGATATATAAAATCCCAGTTTTATTGTCTTTTAGAATTCTAGTTTTACACTTTTCAGATCCAGTCAGAATCTACGTGCTGCCTGAAATGTTGACAGTGAAGTGAATTGGGATGAAACATTAAAAACAGTCGAAATATAAAAAAAAAAAAAACATTTTACTCGCAGCTGCCTAGTTTCCTTATGGCTTGTGCCGACTGCAAAGCGAATAGAGTGAAATCAAAGCCATGAGTCCTGCAGGGAATCACCGGTGTGTGATCACAGATGACGTTGGTACGCAAACATTCAGGTCAGGTGTTGTTTGGTCTCAGGTACAGTCGTCAGTGTCGGTACTTTAGCGTTCTTGTTCTGGTAGATAAAACATTCCCAACTCAGTTTACATGTTTAGCCTTGTCAGAGTTTCTGCAAGGACTTGATTCATGTCGCCTTTGTGATGATAATAAAACATGATCAAAGATGCGTTTTGCAAAAAAAATAAAACGTCCCAGGAGAAGCTTCCTGTGTAGTGGCTCAGGTGGTGGTGGCTCTGCGTCTGCGTCTGCTTCAGTGTAGCAATGTTAGCGATGTCACCAACATATAACTACCCATACTTTCTGAAACTCTCAGATAATGCTAGGTACTTTCCAAAGCTTTTCTGAAACTTGGTGGGTACATTCAGGAAGTTAGCAGTTACTTTCCCAAAACTTTATGGAACTTGCTTGCTACCTTACTGGTAACAAGCCAGTATTTTCCTTGAACTTTAAGGGAACTTCTTGGTTACTTCCCAGAAACTTTCTAGTCACTTTCCAGAACCTCGCAATGGAAATAATTACTAAGCTCTCTGAAAGTTTCAGAAAAGTAAACGCTTCAGTCTCAGGAAGGCACTAGTAAATGAATAGACACCTCATAATACGGCCCAATTGTTGAAAGAACCCACTCAGTTCTGGGAAAGTAATGACAAATTCCATTCTGGAGACAAACCACTAAGTTCAGTGTAAAATATGGGCTGTATTGTGAAGTGCTACCGGATTGGGAGACTCCAAGAAGGAAAATGTTCCGGCAGGTGGAATGAGTGTTGGGGTAGATTGCACATCGATTTGCAAAAAAAAGTAAGAGGTAAAGTTTTTTTTTTTCTGTTGTTTCTAAACAATATATATATTTAAATATTTGTATGTGACATGTTTCTACAGATGCCAGCTATTTTCAACCCAGCATGTGCTGCATGCACTTTACTGTTGCTGCTGCTGCTGCAGAAAACACATTTCCAATGATTAGTGATTTGTTTACAGACATGTTTAAATATCACACTAAAGGGAAAAGTGCATGTTGCAGCAATATCAAGAAAACTGGAAAGGAAACAAGCATTTAATACTTTTTAAAGCTTAAAGGGGTTTTGTAATGTCTATTGAATCAAATGCATTAATGAAAAATGTTTGTAAATCTGATCAGCAATGGTTTAGAAATGAAATGGTTGTCAGCCCTCGTGTCACTGAAGGATCTCTGGCCATTTTAACAAACATATCACTCCAGGTTAGAGATTTATATTTATACATGACGAACAAGTAAAAAAAAAAAACAAGAGGCTGCCTTTGTTAAATGCCTGAAAAATATTTTGTACATTTAATAAACTCATGTACCGAATGCAATTTATTTCCCTAGCTAGGGGGGTTATGTTTACTGTCTCATGTGGTACTGCAGTATAGTAATTTATTATGTGAATGTTTTGTAACCATGATCTCGACTGTAATGGTGCAAGTGTTTTGTGCCCACATTATTGCATTGCAACACATTTCAAATAAAAAAGAAAGTATATATTTAAACACTTTGTGGCTTGTATGGTTTACTTTGCGAATCATTCTTTGTCTAATTTTATTACACGTATTTATATATTTTTACTCTCATTTCGCCTCCAGAATCTCCTGTGTTTTGTGTTCAAATAAACCCATAGTTGGCAACAATGACTTCGTGGATCAAATTCAAAATGACTTATCTAATTCAAATTCTTCAGAGTTACTGCAGACGATGATGGCTGTTGGCAGGGAAGGTCTCTCGTAGCAGCCTGTATTACAGCAAATTTGAAGAAGCCTCTGACTGAAGACATGTTTTCCTAAAACAATTTCAACAAAAGAGGACGGTCAGGGTTGTCCATAACGTTCTTGGTTTTTAAGAAGAGTCTGCCGTCATCTCCAGAGGTTCCACAGTCATCCCCAGAGAAGAATCAGCTGTGATGCGACTGAACCAAGAGACGGCAGCAGAAGAGATGATGCTCAATTACAGACATAGAGAAGATCTGCAGCAGCTTGCTGCCGACCTCGAAGGCCTTATTAGAATTTGACTTAATGTTGACCTGGGTCTGACGCTTAAATCTCTTTTACCTGATTATCCTAAAGATGGTGCACAGTCGCCCTCTTGTGGTAACCAAAGAATCACAACTGAAATGTCATCCAGTTTAGTAAGCTTTTTTTTTTGGGATGACGTTTAAATGACCTGAAATGTATAAGTAATGTCAGTCATGATGTCCAAAAGCAGAATGATGGCTACGAAATCTATAAAAAACATTTCCTGCTCTGTGGAGATTCTTAAAGTTGCACTGGGTTTGCTGTGCAAATGTGATTTTTTTTCCCCCCAAAGAACATTATTTAATACCGAGGCCAAATTATCTCGCAAACTGTTCAAAATAGGAAAGACAAAAATAACACGTCTTTTGCTTATTTGACGGATGTCTTTTTATTTGCAGAAAATTCAGAAAAAAAAGTGTTCTAGTGAAAATGCATTTTAACTAATAAAATTAAGTCGTTCGAAACGCCACAAGCAATTCCTAGAAAGCACAGTCAGAGAAAACCTGGTGTAGCAATAAATGTGGAGTGAGCAGCATGTCTGAAACGCTGTAGTTCAGAAAGTACATGGTTAAAAAAAAGAAAAAAAAAAGAAACGCTTTTCCAGCTTCTGATGAACATGATGGCACCTGGAAGCCGATTTCACAAGGCTGATGTTTACATGTCTTTCTCATCAGGTCCTACATCAAAAGTGAAAGGATGATTCAGGACCTGTTTCAGAATCTGTGTGAACATCAGAGTGGAATATGGAGACTAAATATCTCCCATGGGATTCTGCTGGTCCTGCTGCTTCCTTCATGTCAATAGAATGGATTTTCTTCCAGTTGTGTGTAAATAAAGAGACGTTTCTTCCTCTTCTTCCACTGGATCTTGTCACAAGAAGCTTCTCCTCATTGAGCCCCTGTGATGACACGCCTCATCACGACTGATGCTCTTGCCCTCCGGACTGAGCTGTGGGGCCCAAATGTTTGCAGTTGGGTCACAGGTTGGTGTCTGTGAACATCGTGTGCTCTTTCCTCACAGTGCTGAAGCCTTTGATGGTGTCCACAAATTCCTCGTCATCCATAAACTGCAAAGCAAAATAGGGAAGGCTCCAACTTCTATTCATATTCAAATATTTTTGCTTGTTTGTTTATTTTTTTTAAACTTTTCACCTACATTATTTGTATATTTTCAAGTGCTTTACATAATTGTATTTTTTTTTTTTTTTGACATGTTCAGCATACATTTTTGGGGTCTCTCACCATCCCGCTGTCGTGGGCCGAGATGTTGGGGTCCCAGACGTCGTCGTCTCCAGTGAGAGACTTCCCGTCGATCACCTGGCTGATGCTGCGCCGCAGGGAGTTCACACTCAGAACCGCATCGAGCTCCTCGGCGGGCTCGCATTTAGCCTCCAGAATCTCCTGAATGAACATGAAACACCCGTAAAAAAGAAGAAGAGAAAGAAAAGGTCTTGAGACCAAGTGCTTTATCACACTGGAATTGGTCTTTTCAAGTTAATTTCATTCTACTTTTTTTTTTTTAATGATGGCGTTTTTGGGCAGTAATGTAATTATATTAACATTGAAGGCTGAAGTCTAGGTTTCTCATGTAAAGCAGAAAAAAATACATTTGCAGATTTTTTTTTTTTTTTTTGTGTGAAACTAACGTTTTCACACTAAATGCCTTTTGCAAATACAACCTTCCCTCAGGAATAATGATAAATAAAGACAAATGGTCTCAGATCTATTAACTATAAAACACAAACACGCCTTGATAATGTAGTTTATGGATATTATTCATCTTCTAATGTAAAGCCATGGAGGTAGTTAAACCTCCTGACTGGACTTGAAAATGTAACAACCTTCACTTTGAATGTTTTGAGGGCGAAGTAGTTGTAAAGGCTAAAAGTTGAAAAATAAATCAAATCAAAAATAATTAAGTCTGACTTATTAATTAGAGCAGTCGCCATACCGGTTAAAATTGGACACAAACTTAAATCATGTCTCAGCGTAGAAACATTTCTAGTGCATGATTTGATGATATGACTAATGAAAATTCAAGGATGTCCCTCTCTGTAATGAATTAACAGAAACTGAAGCCAATGATGCAGCGTTGAAGTAACATATTTGTGTCGCATGCTATTCCACTTGCCAGGACCGCACACACACACACACACACACACACACACACACACACACACACACACACACACACACACACACACACACACACATGCAAGTTGTTTGGAGTTTTACCTCAATCTTCATGGAGAATCCCTTCAGGGTCACACTGCTGGAGAAGCCGGTAGTGTCTGGCACCGTGTCGAACTGAAACAGGGAGAGTAACACTGGAAGTTATTGAAAATAAAATAATAATCATAAAACAGTAGCATTAACACAGAGATGCATCCTGTTGCTCGTGGGATGTGAGAATGCTTTGAAAGAAAACAGGCCACGTTGCAAACATCCATAAATCTAAAGCTGTGTTTCAGGTCTGGCGATGTCCTGACTTTCTGGGCCACCGTCTGAAATAGAGCAACGCTATTGTTTTAAAATAAACAATAGCGTCTGACACCTTTGAAAGCTGTGATGACCTAGTTTCCACAAAGGTTTTCTCTCACCAGGACAGAGTTGCTGGGCGGGTACACAGCCATGGGGCTCCTCTTCTGCATGGGGAGAGCAACCAGAGGAGGCCTGGCCCTGGTGAGGGGGGGTTTATTCAGGGCCTGGTGGGACATGAAGCTGCAACATGACGGTTTTGCACCTGAAGAGAGCAGAAAAGGAGCCCGGTCTCTTTACCCTGTGAAGCGTGACTCCCAACACGACGGCCAGCAGCAGCAGGGCGATGGCGCCCATCACCACGATGAACCAAAGCTCCTGGACGACACGATGCTCTCGCCGGCCTCCTTCTGCCCGGTCACCCCCGGCAATGCCGCCGCCTCCTCCGGGAGGAGAGGGGCTCGGTGGGTCTGGAAGAGACGACGTTCTGATAAACGTGTGGAAGACACATCCTGAGGAGTTTTTAGGGTTTATCGATTATTAGAGCTCGAAACATAGAGAGAATTGTGTGAATATAACTCAAAAGTCAACAAACAGATCAGTAAATGTTTGACAACTATTTGACTATCAGATGCTCAACTTAAACACATGGAAAAGTGGATTAAGAAGTTATAACGTTGGATATAAAAAAAAAATAACGCTATTAAAAATGACAAAACAATAAAAAAAAAAACCTGTTTAATTGTCACCGTGTTGCACAGTGCAGTTGGAGAACTACTGCTTTTGCTTTGCATGTTAAGCAAAAACATTTTCTGGTATAATATTATTTTAGGTTGTGTGTTTTTTTTTTTTTTTTTTTTTTTTTACAAGAAACCACCTATTATAATGTCAAAAAAATGTCAAAGTTGTCTGTCATGGGGATTATATTTAAGTTGTATAATCTTAAGCATAATTTTCTGGGTTATCAGCTGAAGTGAAGATGAACTTGTAGATCTGAAATCAACACAGTGTGAATGAAAGATGATCACATTCTGCACCGACGGAGATAACTTTGTAACCGGAGACACGTTCACCTGCAAGGCCTCGTTCAGGCATCCAGCAATGCCACCACGGTACGCAGCGGGTCACTTTCAGCTTATTTATCAGGGAAACCTTTTGTGGAAGTGTAAGTTCACTCAGTAGAAGTGACGGACGCAGAAGCTTCGTGTCGAAGGCGTTGGTTGGACTCACCAGTGCTGAAGTCCGTGGTTCGGCCTGTGTTGGATATGCTGGCGGCCCTTCGCTGTGTCACATCAATCGCAAAGGCCACAGGCCTACACAGGGTTCAGGATCTCACCTGTAGCCCCATCTTGACCTTTTCCTTTTGACATCATGTCGTCAAAATGTGTCAAGAAATTCGCTCTGGTCATTCTCTACCCAGGACCGAAAATTCCCAGACAGGGTCAAGAGTCAAAGAGCTTCGAACCGACTGCGTTCATGTTCCTGAGTGGCTCTAAAGCTCCCATCGGCCTTGGCTTTTCCTCGGCAGGTGCCATGGTAACAGCCGGGTGTCGGCTTTCAGTTTACCTGCGGAGACGTGAAGCTCTTCTTATACACTATTCATGTGTCTCTGATCTTATGAAATGACATTCTGTATGTTTAAATCAGCCACCAAGCTTATCAAAGAAACGTTCATGTGAACGAAAATTGCTGTTGCAGGTGTTCGCAGGTAAGTCTGCATCAAATCTACACCTGAATTACACTTGGGGATTTTTGAGTTTTTTTTTGTTGGCAAACTTTGTGGAGTCCTGCTTTATTTGTTTCATGCTGGAAAAACACCCTTGGTAATGAGAAAAGTATATTTTTTTAAACAAAAGCTGCAGTAAGCTCCTAATGTAATATGCTGGAGAATAACATGAAGCCATTGGTCAATATGGCGCCTCCTGCAGTGTGTTCTCAAACCAGAGGATGGCAGCATGCAGCAGCTACTGGATGGAGCTGTCCAGCTGAATGCATGGAGTCACTGTGCATAGGAAGCAGCAGGGGGGCCTGTGACACCCTGCAGTCCTGAAAACAGCTGCATGCTGTCTTCATACAGGTTAGCATGCTCTGCACCCGTAACCAGCTATGAAGAAGGAAAACCCTGCGGAAATTTAGTCATCATGTTTTGACGCAAAAAAGTCTTTTGTCTTATTAAATTCTTTGATCTCTACAATTTCCTTCCAAATTTTTTTTCCCCAAAATTATTTTCTGCCAGCTGAATGTTTGACTTTCTTGTCTTAATTTTTGTTTCTTTATTAGACCTCTTTAAGTTCAAACTCATCCCAAACCTTGATCCATTCTTCTTTTTTTAGACGGATGTCGTGTTCTACAAATGATGTGTTTGCCTGGTCCAAGTGCAAACCCGGGAGATGCTTCAACTGTGGAGGAGTTGCAAGATTAAACTCTTGCAACTCCTGAATCCTTCTTGATGCACAACTTGTTTTTCCAAAACGCAAAACATGACTTGGTCCTTTTAGCAAATTTAAAAAAAAAATTCTGTTCCCCAACAGGAATGTAAAGTAAAAAAATAATATAAAAATCCCACTTCCTCTTTTGTTTTGATCCAAAATGACATATTTTAAACTTTATATCGAGACCAAATATCTGTTCAAGCAGCAATAAACTATCCTATAACTTACGTCAAACATACAGTATAATTGTATACATAATTTTAAAGAACAGAGTTCCAAATTGTGAAGATAAATGAGTGCGTTTGGATGGATGTAAGTCTGCACGGATGATAATACGAATAAATTCTACACATTTTCCAAACCTTTTCCAGAGTAAGTTTGGAAAAGGAAGCCTTGTAGAAGGAAGCCAGAGACAATTAAATAGATTATTTTAGACTCCTGAAGCCTCTATCCCTCCCAAATAAAGCCTCACCTCATTTGATTTATTTTCACAGAGCTGCTACTCTGCTTAATACCCTAATCAGCATTCATACTTTGCTGTGATGATTCGGAACGATGCTTTTTTTATTGAGGAAGTGATCTCACCCTTGAGTGCCAGAATCAGCCTTTTTTTTTTTTTTTACAGCCCATCTCCTCGGGAGGCCTCATCCATCAGCGGAGACTAACCCATTTACACACAGGAACATATGGGAATACATCACTCAAGATGGCTAACTCGCTTACTGACAGCTGATGTGGTGAAAATTCTCCAGCTTGTCCCCGAATCCCCCGGCGCGTTCGACGACGCTTTAAGGAAAGATAAATTCAGCTGGCAGAAACGGGGGCGTGTGAGGGTTCTGTTGGATTTGGATCGGCTTCTTCATGCATCTTCATTGTTTAAGGCAGGAGTCTCTGACCCCGGTCCTCAAGTCTCTGCACCAACGCGGCTGATGGAAATGGTCCAACTACCTTCTCAGCATGTTGTATTGTTCTGCAGAGGCCTGCTGGAGAAGCATTGGCTGATCTGGCTGTGTTGGACCAGAGTGGGCCAGATACGAAACCTTGAGGACTGCCTTCACTAGTTTAGGGTTTAGCTGACCTGCCCTCATCTTTGCAGCTTTTAAACAATATTTCTGCTACAATCAGAAGCTAGGAGACGTTTTTTTCCCCCTCAGGTTCTCTACATGACAAGGCAATGAGTGCGTCGTTAAGCTCTATACAGACATCTCTCTCTCTCTCTCTCTTTGGGCCTACTTTTCGACTTCATTACATTACCGCTGTTAATTATAAATCTTCATCCAACTGGGCTAAGATGGCCTAAATGTGCCATAATAGGCCGAACATGGAAATAAGAGTTCATTGTCAGACTGAGGCAGAATAGACTGCGCCCACTTACCAGCTATTAATGAATTCCCTTCGCTTTTATTGAGGAAGAAGACACTCAGATATTATGAGCTTTGCATTAAGGGGATCGTCTTTATTGCCCAAGAATCCACCTGAGAATGAAATAGCACTGCTCAGCTCCTGCAGGGGAGAGAAGAATCCGCTCACATCTGTAAAACCCCGTTGTTGGCATAAGACATGATGTACATACAGCAAATCTTACATGACAAACATTTAAAACCGACCACATTGGTGCCGTTTGACCCTAAATCTGAAAGGTTCCCCGTCTCCCCCGACCAGACACTCCTCCGAGATGTGTGGCGGGAGACAAATTTCAGAGACTCTTCACACAACAAACACACGCTAGCAAATTAACAGAGCGCCACCACCAGTTTCCCCAAACATTATGGCTAAAATGAAATCAGTGCACACGTTTGACCCTACACACAGACTTCTACTACAGAAAAGACATCAACTTGCTTTCCCTAATTATAGATCTACAGTTCTGGTCAGAAGTTTACAGAAACCGTTCAGGTGCATGACGGCAAGTTTGGTCCTTTAAAGATGCATGTGAACTGTTGCTTATTGTTGCCCGGGGCATTTTTTGAAAAGACAAAATGTGCACACATAAGTCTGTGTGAATTTAGATTCAAGATTATGCTTACATGCAAATTCATAACATGGCGTTAGTCTGTTGTTTTCCCCATCTCCCATTGGAATCATTGACTTGCTGGGATACCCAGCAATATTCAGATTAAAGAAGCCAAACTGGACGATTGCAAAACATTAGCATCACTATCTAATGACGCCAGTTTAACGTCAACATGGACTGAATGGTTACTTGGAAAAAGAAGAACTATCTACCAAATCAACACCAAATATACAGTCGAAATTCCTCTTCTTCTCCCTGGACAATCATTTGAGACAAAGATTACACTATTTGGTCAGTGACAAAAGGTTTGTTTGGATGAGCCGAGGTAAAGCTGTTCAATCTAAGAACATCTGTAAAGTATGGTGGCTGTGGTGCCATGCTGTGGAGATGTAAGCGGGACAGTGTCATAGGTGAACCAACTTCACCACAAACCAACAGCTAGATGGTTGAAACTTGGACACAGTTGGACGTCCCCACACATTTGAACTGATTTTAGAAGTTAATATGAATCCTCTTTTTCTCTCCCCCTGTTGAAAATGTATGGACTATGCTTATGTTACACTTATGCTACACAAACTGTGGCCAAGATGCAACTTCCTACGAAACATTTAGCAAAGCCTTAGTTGTTAGACTGTATGCATATAGTTAGGCCTTTATGGATAAGAGAAAGTCCTCCATAAATTCAAAATTCTTCCAGATTTTAAATGATCAAAAAATATTGAGTATCAACCCAGTTCAATAAAAACAGTTCATATGAGTCATTAAAGGTCCAAAGTTAACACAGCGCGTAAACTTTTGACGTGAACTATACATTATGGCAGCCTTTTTTTGTTTGTTTGTTTTACATGAAGTCATATCACTGTCCTGCAAGACCCTATGATATTATGCACAGACTGCACTTCAATGGTGATATCATGACATGGTGTCAGTTATCAGTGCCGCAGCAGAGAAGCTGGTAAAAAATTATCTCACAATAATATTAGTTAAAAATTTTTAAAAATTATCCTCTAGCTGCAACAGCCCATGTGCAAATAAAAGAAACAGAACAGAGCCACAAATAAATGTCACTTTGCTGTAGTACTGTTGCATCGTGAAGATAAGTACTCTTTCCCTGAAAATGCCTGGTAAAATATTAATGCTAGTCATAATAATAATAATAATAATCCCCTCTTTCACATGTGCATGAATGGAGATAGATGCTTTTGCTATACAATAAAGCAAGGGAGCAGGGTTTTATGAGCATTTCATAGGCCACATCAAAATATCATGGACATCTGCTGGTATAACTCAATGATAAAGAGTCTTTACTCTTTGGCAAGACTAACAGTATAGAGCTACCATTACAACAACGACAAAAAAATTCTTATCATAAATGTTCTCTAAACCACAAGGATGCAGATTATACAGGCTTCAAGATGAGCAAAGTAATCCAGAAGGATCTTCAAGTATCAAGTGTTTCTTAAAATGATTTTGAAAGAAATACGGTTTGGCATATAATTGTAAATATCTAAAGAAGGCGCGATTCTTCTGCTTTTGAGCCACCTGTCCCAGAAGTCAGCGGGTCAGCACACTTGAACCAATTTCACTGTTTTTTTTATAGGAATCAGGAGGGCTGTGTCTCCAAAAAAGAAAAGAATATTAATTAGGATGCGAGCTAAAATGGACGAATACACAGAGTCGCGAGCCAACTATTTACCAATATGCCTTCCCTCTTCTCACAAAGCAGTGGACAGATCTGCTTCTGATCAAACTTTGGCCTCGAGGAGCTCGAGGAAGAGTTTGTGCATCGGCACGCGGCCGTCCTGTTTGATGCTGCAGAAATGCTGGACGGCGCGAGCGGCCGTCTGACGGAGGAGAGGGAGGGTCATGATCAGCTTTCCGGCACGCCGACAGTCCTCAGGGTGGTGCGTGGCCTCGTGCTCCTGCAGGGCTCCATGAAGGACATCTTGAAGTCTCTGAACTGCCTCAGAGTCCTCGATTTGCATGGAGTCTGAAAGCAAAAGGGATCAGGTTAAAGCTGG